GTAATGAACACCGAAAACAAAATATAATTGGAATGTCGTTTTACAGATTTATTATTTAAACAGAAAGCCTTTTTACAGGGATATACTTCATTATGCTTTTACATAAAACTATAGTCATATTTACTTGCGCATGTTTTATATAATTTTTTCGAACAAATATATTTGCATTTCTTTCTCACGAGTTCCATCAGCCATAATGACGTGGTAATCGTTTCTTATTTGCATAAATAAACACTGACAGATTATTCAATTGAAAATGATCAAGAGAAAGTTGTTTTTGACTCAGAATTATTCACAGCAGAAGTCTCCTAGAACATTTCCCAAAAAATACTTCTGAAGGAAGAAAGCAACTATATAACTGTACGAAATGTTATCGTGACATAACAGTTTTCTCATTAGCAGCGCAAGACTTTCTTTCATGTATACTACATCTCAAAATTTATTAATTATAATAGCGCAGAACCGCAGATATTTGGCTAGAAAGAACTACTACACATAGTCTTTACCACCTAATTCTAGAAATGCAATAAGACAGCCTCCTTCGTTAGACAACAGAAACGGAGAAGGAAAATAATTTCGCTCTTATTACATTTTGTGAGTCATAGTATACCCGTCGTTATCAGTTCATGACCTGTTTCGAGCTTTTAAGTGACTCGAAAGTATAGTCATATTTACATACTTTTGAGTAACATCATCAAAATGATACCTCAATTTTTGAAGTCGTGACGCCCTATAGGCTGGAAGGTGGCGTTTGTTGCATAGTGTCTGTTAACAGCAGAAATCGAGCATCCTTCCTAAAGTCTAGAATGCTTTGGCCTACTAGAATATCACTCGCTCATGAAACGACAATCGCCTTTTCCTTCAGAGATGTCATAATACGGATACAGAATGTGTCCAATGAATGTACAGGTCTTAGAGTAAGAATACGGACAATATCTGTATTCTCCTAAATCCCATAGGTAGCTAATATGGACATGTACATACATCCGTATTCACATTTATATATATGTCTTTATGTATTCCTGGGATTCTGGGATTTTACTCGATAAAGGGTCTGTAGTCTGTGGTAGTGAGAGTGAGTCAGGATCCAGCATGTCGTGAGCACGAGCCTCGCCCTGCGAACGTTGTATAGGTGTAGACGAGTAATGAAGTTTTACTTGAAATGTTTGGGTTGCTGTTGTATTAGGCAGTTGAAAGAATCATATTGTGAATGGGTATTTTTGGAATACAGGTCAATGTAACATAGTTTTTTCAGTAGAGCAGTAAAGGCCTTAGAGTGATATCGTAAATGTAGTACATGTACTTCCAACGCTGAAGATCGAGATAACAGTAAACTGAACACGGAATTGTATATGATGTTCAGTTAATGAAATTTATGAATGTTTACTGATTGAAAGTTGAGGTTGAAGAAATAAACTTTTATTTGTCCTTTCATTTATTCTAAGTTTCATTTTGCGCTTGTGTTTTACAGTTCGGAGGGCGAAGGAGGCGCTAAGATAAGACTGAGTTATGAGACCAGATTTCTCCACTATTTCTGGCTGCACGAAGCGTTTGTTTAGGTTTTGTTAGAACTCCCAGGTATTTCTTCCCTAGCCGTGTTTTACTTTTTCTTTTAGCTATAGTTGGAAGAAATAACTGTATGTTAAAGTGCATAATAAACCAGCTGAGAACGCGTGTAGTAGGAGAAAATAAAACGTCTGAAGGTCATAATGATTGTAGATAACCAATGACAACCTAGAATAGACACACGAGTTGATTACTCTATACTGTGGGTGCATAAAGGTGGCCCAGAAGTCCTGACTCGATTTGAATAATAAATTTTCCTATTAGATAGCCATTGTGGAGTTGTATCAGTTTTGCTATGATTGAGGATGCGAATTGTGTCAAGTTGTTCTTTTTCAATTGTTTTATATTGTCCGACGTTTTCCATGTTAAAAGAATAAGTGGTAGTATGAACTATGGTTGTAGAAGTTGATTTATTTGGAGTACGCGCAATGACACGATCAGACGTCAGATATTGTTTCACTAGTTTTTCTTTGGAAGACAATTTTTTGTTGCTTGTTGATGATAATTCCTTTTTAACATATGTTGTAACATGTTGCATACATTCTTCCAATATGAAATTTTCTATGTTTAATTGGAATCGTGTGACATGTGGCATTAGGTAACATTATATAGCGCAACAACGAAAAAAACGGATATTGTTTACCAAAAACAGATTTACGAAAAACTATTTACGATCGTTCTAAATGGCTATTTTGGAGGAAGACAATTTTACAAAAATATATATATACCCTTGGCAAGGTTCAACTTACACAATCAGAAATTAATTTTTATTTATATTATTCTCATTTTTTATTTTTTACATTAATAAGTCTTCACAATAGAAGTCACACGATTTATCAGTAGAGAATGTCTGTGAGAGTGAGAGAGTGTGTATGAGAATGACAGGTTGTGTGTATGAGGGTGAGAGAAAGTGAGAGTGGCTGTCTACGAGAGTGAAAGAGCGTGAGAGAGAGCGTCTATGAGTGGGGAGATAGTGGGAGTGTGTGTATATTGAAACCGGTGTGTTTGTCTACACGTGCTGTTCAACGGATACGTATCCTTAATCCTGGAGAACTAGGTAAAACCCATCATAAGAACCATTTCTCATTTGGTGAAAAAGAAGTATAAGTATAATGGCAATATGCCCTATAGGAACGATTTCAATCGGAAGAATATACACTATTTAAGCTTTGAAACTTACACATTTTTAAAGAAACAAAAGTAAAACAGGACAAAAATTAATTAAATCGTAATAAAACTCGGTTTAATTTTTAGTGTTAAGATTAGAACAGAGTTTGCTAATCCACATAGATCCTCGCCGTACGATGGTCGTCGTTTAAGTATCCATCCTCAAATGAAACAATGAAAACGTCTCTAATTGAGTGTCCGTTCTTACTAAAGTGTTTACCTATTGAGGTAGTACGAATGATACATATTTGTGTGTGGCGATAGAATCTTTCTCTCATTGGGATGCTAGTTTGTCCTACATATTCGTCATAGCATTTTTTACATCTAATGTAATAACACAAATTACTCGAATCACATCTCAATCGTTGCCCAATCCAACATGATGGTGATTATGCGAGTATCGCCACTTAGTGAACAGAAACGACAATACTCTCTCGAACAGACCTTAAACTCTCGATGAGTGGGATCCAATACGATTTCGGGAGACAATGCACAATCAGCATGCTTATGCTTACTTTCAACTTGTTCATTTGTCGATCGAGCATTAACTGGCATTGATGGCGATGATGGATGCTCGTTATCGAATACTTTCATTTGTTCATCTTCACTTGAATTGTCGCTGGTAATTGCTATGAAAACACAATGATTTTGGTTTTAAAAGAAAATCACCACGTGTTTTTTTACTTTGATCGTTTTTGTCCTTTCGACTGACATTTGGTTTACGTGTAAGTGTGACACTTCTTTGATTTAGAACTTCATCATGCAAATCTTATTGTGATTGATTTTGAAATTCATTTTCAGACTGATCCTGACTAGCAAATTCGTCCGAATCAGATTGCCGCGGGTGTTGACGAGAACCTCAACATATAATGAATACAGGAATTGATCTAAATTGGAAAGTCTCATTAATAAATTGCACAGCGGGTTCCTTAGAATTACATTTTCACGTCTTTTCTGGTGTCGACATAATCAACGTGGTTTTTGCCTAAATGCCGCGCAATGCACTACCCTGTGCATTTGAATGGTTGCCGCTTTGAGCATATGAGTTGATTGTGCTCGGATGTCCTCGTGACGTGCTGTTTTCTGAGTGGTTTTGATTGCTTTTCGTCAGCAACTACTCACAATCAAAATGTAGCGGGCCGCAGCAGAGAATGTCAAGAATCCCTAGTGTACAACCACACAGCCATTCGGCGTTGCCGAAACCAAGTGAGCGTAATCATGCACCTTCACACGGCGGTGCATTTCAGGGAGATCCAATCAACCCCCACCGCTACTCGCATTCACAACGTGGACCGTTGTTGAGTAACAATCTCTTGCCTGGTCAACAGAGCGTGCCGCAGGAACTATCGAGAATCCGTCATGCTCAAAGCCGTGCGAGCAGCAACCACTTACATGCGCAGAAGAGTTCGTCACGAAGAGAGCCGATGCAACCGTCGACTATACCAAGCGGCAATCAGTCACAGTCACAATATAGTGTGCCGCGTCGAGAGCCGAGCAACAGGAAAGCCTATTCACATGGCATGTTGGCATTACCTATGCCAAGCAGCAATCATACACATTTACAAGACAGTCCATCGCAAAGAGAGCCTAGCAGCTATCAGTCACATTCTCAGAGCATCGTACGCCGGAGACAGCCGAGCGCTACTCACTCGCAAGTCGAAGGCGATACTCCATCGGCGACCAGATCGACTGGCAATGACTCCTCCCATTCATACGGCAGCGATGGCAGCGTGCTACAGGAAAATCTTAGTACTGCCATCAATGGCTGGTCACAACACAGTGTGTCACGCGAAGACTCCTCAGATTCGGAAGTCAGTCGCTCGCTGTCTCCGTCCCAAGGAGAACGGAAAGTCAACTATCAAGCATACGCAGAAGCGTCAGAAACGGCTCCGACTGTTGCTAATGTCTCATCGTCAGATTTAGAAAGCACTAACTCGTCCGAACCAGAAGCAGATTCTTCGCGGAGTGTATGGCAAGGAGAGCCTAATTTTCATCCATATGCTCATACAGAAGAAGCGTACAGTGCCTCGTACAGTCCGTTGCAATCGGAGACGAATTCTAGCTCATTCGGATATGCAGAAGTCACTAAATCAGACGAAGAGCCGAACAACTACTCGAAATCCGAAGATAGTGCCTTGTCAGGTTCAGAGGCCGAACACTCCCCTGATGCATTACAAATACAGCCGCATTCTGGCACACTTGCATATGCAGAAGCCATTGAATCAGACGAAGAGCAGAACTACTCGCAGTCCGAAGGCAGTTTATCGGGGGATTCAGAAGCAGATCCTTCGTTGAGTTTATCGCAAGGAGAGCCAAACTTCCACCCTTATGCACAGACGGTACAAACACAACCGAATTTCGAGCCTTGTGAAGACACACAAGCCACTGTATCAGACGAAGACCCGGAATTCGAAGGCAGTGTCTCGGCCGAGCCAGAAGCCGACCCCTTGTGGAATGCGTCGCAATCAGACCTGAATGTCAATCCTTATGCCTATGAACAAGGCAATGCGTCGTATGAACAGCCAAATATGCCCTACTCCTCAGATTCCGAAGACGAACTCTCCCCTGATGTTGGTGCAGTACAAGTAAATCCATATTTCAACACTTATGGAGGCGCAGAAGCTTACGGTGCATTGCAACCACCGCAAAATATCTCTTCTTATTCATTTCCACAATCGTACGAGGCCATATATGGCGCTCAACAAACGGAGCCGAACGACAGTTACTCTTCATCGGATGCTGAAGGCGATGATGGGTCCTACGGTGCTTTACAAACAGAGCCCAATTTCGATGCTTACTCATTTCCACAGACTTCCGGGGCATGGCAAACAATGGTAAATGTCCATCCGTACGCACATATACAACCCAGTGCTCCGTATGGTGATGTGTTTCAATTTGAACCAAACAATGCTTATTATCACCCAGAAATCGCTTCAACTGATTCAGACAGCGACTAAATGTAGGGGAGGGAGACGAGCTTTTTGTTTGTGGTTCATTAATTACTTAATTCAGATTTTGTGGTGCTGGATCTTTAATTAAATTCATGAAAGTATTTTGAAAAAAAACTCAGGCGCATCACTGCAGAACAAGTTTAGTAATCTTGAGTGACACAAGCCGGTTTTTCTTTGATGACGAGTCAGTCAACCACGACAAATGATCTCGAACGTTCGTCCCTGTCTTCTTCTGTCGTCGATCCTTTTCCAGTCCTTTTTTGTTCACGTCATCAGTAAAACACAACGGAGTTGATAGAAAGAGAAGATTTTGGAAAGTCGTTTCTTGAACATGTAGTCATAATAGTAATAAAGAAGTTTGATTCCAAAACGCAGAAGTTTTTTTCTTATCACGATTAAGAGTTTCAAGAAGACATTGAAATGAGCGTGTCTGTAGAACAACGGTTTCAGAAGAGAAATCCAGCAACACCGATGAGAATGTAGGAAAATAATTTATCTTGATCCTCACTGCGATGTGCGTCTTTCTTACCAAAAAACAGATGCCAATCTGTTCACCCAAGTTGAGGAGATTGATGGCAATTCCAGGAAAGACTGCGCACAATTTCTTTGTGTGACCTATCATCATTTCACCAGACAGTCAATTCTACTATGACGTGAGCACAAAAAACTCTCTGAATAGCATGAAACTCTTTTTTCTCCTCCATCATTTTTTTACTTTGAACAACCGGGAAAAGAAGAATCGACAAAACATCTAGAATACGACCCCGTTTACGGTGTCTTTTTTCCTTTTTTTGCTCACTTGTTTGTTCATGCGAACGAGAAGCTATTCCATTCATAACTCAGAAACACCATCAACTCATTTTTGGAAATATCAACTGCTGAATGAATATTTAGGCACGCAGTTCAGCAATGTTAGTAACTAAAAAAGCCAAAGACACTTTTTAGACTCATACTAGCCAATTTTAATCAAATTTTAATTTCAAAGGGTAACTATCGAAGTGGGCTTTTTTTTTATATGCCACAGCAAATATATATTCGAAAAAGTTTTTTACTGACCCACAGGCTGTACAGAATTCTATTTCATCTCAAAACAAGTGGCTAATATCTTTGTGAAGGTAAAAATTCGCCTTCAGCTCTATATTGTTACGTAGTGTTTTATACGTAACTTGTATCCTTCTTTGTGTCAGTGCCAACAATGAATTATGTTTTCATATTTTATTAACAAACATATTTACATCAGAGAATGTTGACATTGCGTCAGCGAATGAGAATTTCCAGAATTACTGAAGGAGATTTTCTACGCTTCCTAACAATATCACATTTAGTTCTTCTGGTGGAATAATGATGGGCGGAAAACTAGCATTCAAGCTAAGGATTTTCTTGTCTCGTTCTTTCTGCCTTTCTTTTGCTACCGTCCGATCGTGTGTGAGTCAGCTTCCTCCTCTTCCAACTGATGAGATTATGTGGATGCTGGCTGGTAAAATAAATGTGTACAACAAGATAGTGAATGCTTTCTCAGCTAATAATATTTCTCGCTGGAGCAGTGAGATGAAGGTTGTCGATAACACTAAGCTGCCTTTTGTGCGCTACTGTTATACTATGAATAGTTATCATCCATACATACCCACACGTTCTGAAGGCAAAAAAGGATGATAATGCGAGCATCCGTGAAAGAATGCTGGTCTTAATTTCACGACCCCTGCACTCGCTTCGCTCTCCCAACAATTTCGCATTTATCGAGAGCAGAAAAAATTCTGTAATGAAACACTTCGAGCAGCAATTTCACAGTTCACGATGCAGAAAAAAGATAATATTGCTTTTGAAGAGAGCAATGTCAGTTGATCAAATCTATTCGTAGCCGACTCGTTTCTTATTAACGGAAAGAGGGAGAGTTAGGGTCACCTTAGAGTTGCCTAAATTCGGCTCCTTCATCTCGCTGGACTTTTGCGCACGAATGTTAACTGTGTCTTCAAATCTGTATGCGTTAAAAAGGAATGTGCTCGATTTTTTCTCTTCTTGGCTGGAGACACCAACACAGTGGGCATTCAAGCGGACATTTGGCCAAAAAGTCGAATATGAGCTTTTTCAAATTTGAACCGTCAGACCTGTAGCTCTTGAAAAGGGCTATCGAATGGTGTATAATGATCGACTGATAATGGACTGCTTTAAGTAGTAGGGCAATTAACAAGAAACGCCAAAAAACACCATCCTATATGACACATGCGCAAAGATTATTGTTTCTCTGTACACAGACGCAATAGAATCCAATGGAAAGCACATATAAGGAATCCGTTTTT